ACACACACACACACACCACTACACACACACACACACACACACACACACCACTACACATTTGTCCTAGATACTGGCAGCATGGAGGCTGGCCAGACATGGTCCTTTACCTCCAGGATCTTACAGGCCAGTGGACAAAGACAACGATGTAAACACCAGGTGGGTTAGGTTCAAGGCACGAGGCTCTTCTCGGCTCAGCTTCTGTAAGGGGTCCCTGTTGAGTCTCCGGTGGCCACTTGTACTCCTGTGTATCCGGTCTTACCTGCTCTCCTTTCAAAGCCATCAGGATTCAGTCCCAAGGTCGCACTGAGCGACTCTCATCCTAAGCACTTCCCAAAGGCCCACTGCTAAACACAACAGGTGGATAAAGTTTCCCCTCCTAACCTCTTGCAGCAGAAACCAAGACTGGACACATGAAGGGACACTCAACCCACACTGAGATCCTGGCATCAGGGTTAGTGGGAGTTGGCAGGAAACACGTCCCTAGTCCCAGAGTAGAAAGCTTCAGCCCCACTGGGGTCCCTGGAAGGAAAGGGGAGTTGGATGCCCTCGTGGACAGTATTTTCAGAGCAGGCTTTCTGTCTGTCCTCCCCATCGATTTCCAGCATCTTCCGGCCTTCAGAGCCCTGGTAACTGTGCGGCTGAGCTTCAGCTTTGTTCTTGGGGGTCCACACCACCGGATGATGGCTCAGTTTCAATGTTTTCCCACCTGCTTGTCTCACAGGCCAAGTTCAAGTCGCTGACAGTGGTCAGCACCTTCACGTTAGGAACCGAGGACGGCAGCGTCCTGCAACTGCCAGAGGCCTCCTCCTGGAGTGAGGTAGGACGGGAGCCGTGGAAGAGTGGCAATGGGAGGGGTAAGGGATGGCCTTCTTCTTTTTCCAGTTTTAGTTTTTTTTTTATAGATTTATTTATTTATTATGCATACAGAAGAATTGAACTCAGGACCTCTGGAAGAGCAGTCAGTGCTCTTAACTGCTGAGCCATCTCTCCAGCCCATCCAATTTAGTTTTTAATGTCTTATGAGTATCAGTGTTTTGCCTGCCTGTGAGTGTACCATGTGAGTGGAGGTCAGAAGAAGGCATTGGATTCCCCCCAAACTGAGATGGTTTTGAGCTACCCTGTGGGTACTGGGAACCAAACCCAGATCCTTTGCAAAAACAAATGCTTTTAGCCACTGAGCCATCTCTCCAGCCCCACAATGGGATTTTTCAGAGCAAAACTATATCCATTAGGCAGCAGTCCACCAATCAGAGGTGGCGCTCCCGCTACCTGGCTTCAGTGTTTTTAAGTAGGTTGTTCTGTTTTGTTCTCTATTTGGGGGCTGGCTTTGTTATCATGTCGAATGAGGCTAGCCGGCTTAAAGGGCACAAATAAAACCCAAGCCAGGTGTGGTGATGCATGCCTGTAATTCTAGCACGGGCAGGCTGAGAGAGGAGGCCTGCCATGAGTTGAGAGGGCAGTCTGGGACATATAACGAAACTCTGCCTCAAAAACAGGCAAACAAACCAACCCACAGAAGCCCGCCTCAAAAGCAAAGCATGGCAAATCAAAACAAAACAAACTCTCCTTGACATGCAGAGCCTGCTGGAGGTGATTCAGACGCACACCACCCCCATCTCCCTGTGGATCCTCGTGGGCAGTGTCCTGGGAGGGCTGCTCCTGCTGGCGCTCCTGGTCTTCTGCCTCTGGAAGGTGAGCCCAGCTTTTGTGGGTGGTGGGAGCATTGTGCCCACAGTTTGGAGCATCTTACTGTCGAGAAAAGCAGCCTGTATGCTGGGCAGTTAAACAGGCCGGGGGTGTTATGTTTGGACGTCCTTCACTCTAGTCCACAGACGTTGCCGGAGTCAAACCAAGCCAAAGAAAATAAAATTGAATCCCGTTTTTGGGAGCAGAACAAACGCCAAGACCTCAGATAAGCGGGAGGGCTATTAGCAAGGCCCTCAGCCGGGGCATCTGGCAATGACTTGAATCTTGCCCCCTCTAGCTTGGCTTCTTTGCCCGTAAGAAAATCCCCAAGGAAGAGCAGGCGGATGAGAAGTTGGTGCAGTGACTGCAGCCGACGGACGACTCCGAAAGTCCTCGCTGGCGGCCTCTTCTAGAGACTCGTGTCAAAAAGCGAGGCTTGGCTCAGAGGGAAAAGATGCTTCTGGAAAATGTCTCCAGACCTGCAGCCTGACTTGACTTTTGAACCACGGGTATGCTGCTGGCAAGAGATGCGGCTTTGCCTCAGACACGAAGGGCTGGCACCCAAACCCGTAAATGCCCCCACCCTGCGCTTTCCTCCTCGCCCTGCCGGGTTCCACCTCCAACATTGGGTCTTTGTTTGGGGCCCTATCTCCCGCATTACCAGGGGTCAAAAGATGTGTTTTCCTCATTCCTTTTAGAATCCCCTTGTCCTCCCTCACAATTCCAAAAGGAAGGTTCTCCTCCATCGCCCACCCACCTACCCCCAAACGCTTTCTCACCTTCCTGCCTGCTCCCGACTCCGCAGGAGAGAGCTGACGTTGACTTAAAAGAAGTAAAGTCAACATCTGCTGCTTTCCTGTGGAGTCCAGTGATTCATAGAGCCGGATGGGGAGAGTCAACAGGAAAAGAGGGAGGAGGAAAAGCCACAAGAGACATTCTGTACAATTCCAAGGCACAGAGAAGCGTTCAGACAGGCAACCGCCAGCCCCCTTGAAACCTGAGACTTCTCGGGACGCCCGCCTTCAGGTGCTGGGGAAACCCGGCTGGCCCTGGGCTCTCTGGGCAAAGCCAGGAGCCGGCGCTCAATTTTCTGGAACCAGGGGCCCCCTGGTGGTTCAAACTGGAATAGCAGGGAAGCTTTCTTACTCATTGGGGCTTCCTTAGAGAAAGCGGCTTGATGGTGGGAACCCCTTTCACCACACCAGCTTTGGGAAACAGCAGCACCCCCCCCCCAACACACACATACACACACACGAGATCCGAACAAGGAGCATCTGCATTAGAAAGCCTAAGTAGTTGGCGTGGGAACTCCGGGGAGTGAGCCCTTACCTGTCCTGCATCGGCTGTAATATCTCCCAGGAAGATGTTTCCGGGGCTCCTGTGCTATAGGTTTCTCCGTTGGGGTGAGTTTTTCAGCCCTCACTTGATGTCTACTGGAAATCTCAAGTTAACTCTGAATTCCCTCCCTCTTGTCCTATGTTTTGGTTCATGGGCGCCTGGAATTCTCTTTTTTTTTTTTTTTTTTTTT